CAGCCTGCCGCAGGCCCGCGCGGGCAGGCCGCGCGGGCTCGCAGGCGGCGGCTTCGCTCGCGGCGCGCGCGGTCGGGGAAGCGCAACGATGGGCGGGGACTTTGTGGGCCCCGGAAACGGCAGGGCCGTTTTTTCACCGTCTTCAAAAAAAAATGCCCCTTTAAAAATAAAGACGGCAAAAAAAAACGGCGACCGGAAACGGCAAAAAAACAGCTCCAGGATTGGAACCAGAGCCGGAACCTGTCAAAAAACGGCGACGGAACCGGTAAAAAAACGGCGTCGGAACCGGAAAAAAAACGACAAAACGGAACCGGTAAAAAACGGCCCTGTCGTTTCCAGGGCCCACTAAGGGCGGGGAGGAGCGGCTGGGAAGGAGGCAACGTCTGGGACCTCCGGGGAACCGAACTCTATACACCAACGCTGTCGTCCGGCCCCTGCGCTGAGACTCCCACAAAAGAAGCGGATCCTGGTGTAGATGGGGCCCTGGTGTGTACATGTTTCGTTGTTTCCCTGGGGGAACGGGGAAAAAGTACACACCACACCACCCCGACGTCGTCCCCGACCCTCCAAAAGTCCTGAGATTGAAAGAGAGACCGCCACTGGCAATGGATATGTTCCAGTTTCTGGAATTCTTCGTGGGAACGATTAAGAAATACCCAGCCCAAGTATAAGGAGCCATTCAGCCAGGTTTGCCCCAAAATAAGCACAGCATTAGGCTGGATGAGACTGGATCAAGCGGGACTGAGCGGTATTAACAGGGGCTATGCCACATCAGGCTGGTCTTCGACCACGGGAATACCAGCGCTGATGCGGAATGAAACCTCATCCCAAGGGATGCAGGCGAGAGCATAGCTTTAGGTCGGGCATGTCCTCCTGCAGGCAGATCTTGAAGGAAAACGAAAAATTGTCGACAAAAAACTCAGAAATAGTCGGCCAACTAATCAAAACATCACCCCCGACTATTTCTAGACTGTTTGAATCTTCCTCCTGTAGAGGGACGTGCCCGACTTGAGCATAGCAGGGGGGGATGAGGAGCAGGAGAGGCGGCGACCGGGGGGCCGGCTGCCCACAGAGCGCGAGCAGGCCCGAAGGCGCTGGCGACCGCCTCCTCCAGCGGGGCCCTGCTGAGCGGCCGCCCCCCCGTCGGGAGCGGCCAAGAGGGGGGTGTCCAAGAGGGGGGGGGGCGCAAATCAGGAACCGGCGGCACCAGTGCGCGGCCCAGCGGGGGGCAGGGGACGTAAGGAAGTAAGACGAGGCCGCCAGAAAGTCTGGGAATAGCATGGCCCCGCCATAATCCACCCCCCCTAGTCATCAGATGGAGGAGGAGGAGGAAGGAGGAGGAGGTAGAGGAGGAGGGAGGAGAGGAGGAGGAGTGAGGGGGAGGGGGAGGAGCAGGGGAGGAGGAGGACTAGAGGAGGATGAGCAGGGGGAGGAGGAGGAACTAGGAGGGAGGAGGAGGAGGAGGAGGAGGAGGAGGAGGAGGAGGAGGAGGAGGAGGAGGGGGAGCGGTGAGGGGGAGGGATCGCAGGATCGCGCCTGCTCGCTGGGCCCCGAGGCCCAGCCTGCGGGCACGGTGGTCGGCCGCCCGCCGGCCGCCGCTGCTCGGGGGAGGGCCGGGCGAGGCAGCGGCGCGCGCGGGCGCCCCTCGCCGTGCTCGGGGGCCTCCTGGCCTTCCCGGCGCCACGGCCAGAGCGTGCCGTGCCGAGAGCACGACGCACCAGACTAGGAGGAGAAGAAGAAGGAGGAGGAGGAAGAGGAGGAGGAGGAGGAGGAGGACTGAGGAGGAAGAGGCGGAGGAGGAGGGAGGAGGAAGAGGAGGAGGAGGAGGAGGAGGGAAGGAGGAGGAGGAGGAGGAGGAGGAGGAGGGAAAGAGGAGGAGGAGGAGGAGGAGGAGGAGAGGAGGAGGAGGAGGGAGGGAGGAGGAGGAGGAGGAGGAGGGGGAGGAGGAGGAGGAGGAGGAGATGAGGAGGGAGGAAGGAGGAGAGGAGGAGGAGGAGGAGGAGGAGACCCCAGGACGGGCCCGTGTCGAATCACGAAGCGGCTTTGGGGAACTCAAAACTGGCCATCGCTCGGACGTCCATTCCCTGTGTTTTTGTTCGGTGTCGTGCGCGATTTTTTCGCAACATGGTCAAGGACGCTCCTCGATGGTCCTCGCCGAAGGAAAAAATTACACGTCCGAGCGATGCAAAGAAGAGGTGCCGATACCGCCACTCCCCGGACCTCTCTCCCGGGGTGCGTGCTGACCAGAATGTCGAGGCGGGCCCAACGGTGGGGACGAGACCCTGCCAGGAGGGCGAAAGAGAGGAAGCGGGCTACGGGTAGCGATATGGGTGCCTTTTCCTCCTCCGGGGACCACTTTCGAGCGGACTTGGGGTGGACGGGAGAGCCGCTGCTACCTCGACGGGCCTTCCTCCGAGGTGTCCGCGAGGCGAGCGGCCAGCCCCGCCCTGGCCCCGGGAGGAGCACTGCAATTGAAAAACACAAAATGGGCACGGGGCAGAGAGATCAACCATACTTACTCTGTAGAAATGACAACTCAATCATTCGAGACTGTTGGCTCTTACCTGCCCGCGTGCCATTTCACAGTTGTATCCCAAACTCTCGCTGCCCAGTCTCCTCGTCTTCGATCGTATCCCCCTGGGGGCACATCTCTGCTACCTACGACATGTATTTCGCGCAGCCCCCAAAGCAGGGGAGAAGAGGGGAGGGAGCACGAGAGAGAGAGAGAGTAGCAGGAGAGGACAAGGATAGAGCAGCGGGAACAGAGGACGGGGGGGGGAGGGAGAAGGGTGGAGCGCGAGAGAGCAGCAGCCTGTGCAGAAGGGGGGCGACGTGGCTGCGACTGCGGCCCAGACCTGAGGACGAGGGGCGAGGGAGGAGGAGGGGGAGGAGGAGGAGGAGAGGGAGGAGGAGGAGGAGGAGGAGGAGGGTGAGGAGGAGGAGGAGGAGGAGGAGAGGGAGGAGTAGGAGGGGCCCTTGTCTGCGGTGGTTCGGTCAGGAGCAGGAAGCACGTGACAGAACCAGACGGGCGGATCGGGCGGCCAGACCCTGACGGGCGGGTCGGGAAGGGGGGCCAAAGCGGCCAGGTTGCCGAGGCGTGAGTCTTGCAGGAATCGCGAGGAGGTCTCGAGCGATAGCGCGACTCCCAAGTAAATCGCAAGAAAGGCCAAAGCTAAATTTCTGGGTGTCGAGGGCGCGGCATCTGAACAAATTGCGAGGAGGCCCCACGCGAGAGCGCGCTTCCTGCATAAATATGAGCGCGATGTTGAGATACACTTTAAGGAAGTATCAGGCGGGAGCCGTTGTTGCTGTAACTCGGGAACCAAAGACATAGTTTGGTGACCCCGCACTGCCCCTCATAAAAACCTCATTAAGAAGAGCGGGTGCGAACCCCAGCAGAAGCATTATAAATGAATAAGTACAATGGTCACCACAGGGGGGTCAACCATACTTATTCTTTAAATATGAGAGCTCAACAACAACAACAACAACAACAACAACAACAACAACAACAACAACAACAACAACAACAACAACAACGACAACGACAACGACAACGACAACGACAACGACAACGCCAACGCCAACGACAACGACAACGACAACGACAACGACAACGACAACGACAACGACAACGACAACGACAACGACAACGACAACGACAACGACAACGACAACGACGACAACGACAACGACAACGACAACGACAACGACAACGACAAGAACAACAACAACAACAACAACAACAACAACAACAACAACAACAACAACAACAACAACAACAACAACAACAACAACAACAACAACAACAAAACAACAACAACAACAACAACAACAACAACAACAACAACAACAACAACAACAACAACAACAACAACAACAACAACAACAACAGCAGCAGCAGCAGCAGCAGCAACAGCAGCAGCAGCAGCAACAAGAACAGGAACAGGAACAGGAACAACAGCAGCAGCAACAACATCACTCATCTGCTCGCGTGCCATTAAACAAGTATATATCCCAAACCCTCGATACCCGCCCTCCTCGTCTTCGATCATACCCCCCATTAAAGGTAGAGATGTCTTACCTGCAACGTGTATTTCGTGCAGCCCCGCAGGCAGGGGAAGCGAGGACGGATGGAAGGAGGAGACAAGGGGGAGGGAGGAGGATGGAGCACGAGAAAAATTAGCAGGAGGGGGGCTAGGAGCAGAAAATACGCGTCAGAAACAGACGGGCAGGTCACGAAGGCAGGCCCAGGCGGCCAGGTCGAGCAGGCGGGTCGCTGAAGTATGAATCCTGCGTGAGTCGTGAGGAAGTCTCGAGCGATCGAGTGACTCCCAAATAAATCGTAAGAAATCCACAGCGAGAGCGTGATTCCTGAGTGCCGAGGGCGCGGCGTCTGAACAACTTGCGAAGAAGTCCCACGCGAGAGCGCGATTCGCGTACAAATCCCACCAGCCCTTCAGGGCCTTAGGGCGTAGGTGGTCCAGGGTGTTTTGTTTCGATTTTCTCATGTTTCGCTGCCTCCTCCTCCTCCTCCTCCTCCTCCCCCTCCTCCTCCTCCTCATCCTCCTCCCCCTCCTCCTCCTCCTCCTCCTCCTCCTCCTCCTCCTCCTCCTCCTCCTCCTCCTGACCTGAGGATCCACGAAACGACCGATGAATGTACCCGCCGCCCTTTTGCGGCTTCGCGGCAGAGGGCGGGGAGCCAGCAGCGGGAGGGCCCATTCGACAAGGGGAAACGGCCGACGGCCTGCTCTGCTGTAAGGAGCCCTGCCGGCGCCCCTGCCCGGAAAAAAACAACTGCGAGGCCTCCCCGAAACTGTAACGCGCCTGTCGGGTCGGGCAAAAGGGGGGGATAGCAAAGGGGGGGATTGAGAATCAGCTCACGGAGCTGATTTTCCCGGCGCCTCCCGGCGCCGGAGGCGGCCATGTATCGAGGAATGGGCCCCTCGGTGAGGCCGAAACCAGCTGCATGCAGCAAATTTCGTAACCCCCCCTTTCCCAATCCCCCCCTTTCGTCCGGCCCGAGATACCTCCCCGAAACTGTAACGCGCCTGGCGCCTCCTGCGACTTCTGCGCCGGGAAGGCTGCGCCGGGAAGGCTGCGCAAAACTCTGCGGAGCGGGGCCCCGCGCTCCGGAAAAACGCCTCGCGGAGGGCCCCCCCCCCCCATAATTAGGCTCTCAGATGACGAGGCCCGGCGCGGCCACGCGCAGCCGCCTGGAGCCCGCTCGGTTGGGGCAGGCGTGCGCGTCCCTCACGAGAAGGACCTCGTCGGACGCCTCGTAGGCCTGGGCGGAGTTGTCGCCGGCGGTGGTGCAGTTCCCGTGCGGCGCCGGGCCGGTCCAGGTGAAGTGCGGGTCGCCGCCGGCCCGGGTGCCAGACTCGGTCGCGCACGCGGCCCTGCGCCACTGCCAGGAGGCGTGCGTGCTGTTCTCGACCACCAGGACGCCAGCCCCGAAGCTGGCCTCGCGGAAGGCGCTCCAGGTCGGCTGGGGCTGGCGCCAGCCGCCCGTGGACGGCCCCTCGTAGTTCCCCGCGTCACCAACGACGAGGTGCGTGATGCCGCACGGATCCGCGGTGCCGTTGTACACGGGGTGGCTCCTCTCGTACGAGTGGACGTGCCCGTTGACCACAAGGTCCACCCCGTGCTGGTACAGGGTGGCCTCGAGGTCCTGCTGCGCGTTGAAGCCCTCGAGGTAGTGATAACTGTTGCTGTTGTACCAGGGCGTGTGGAACAGAACGACCACCCAAGGAGTGCGGGTCCTGTCCACAGCCTCCAAGTCCTCCTTGAGGAACTCGTTCTGAGGGCTGCCGGGGCCCGTCGGGGCGTAGGAGCCGGCGAGGCCCACCACGTGCACGAGGCCGACCTCGTAGGAGTACCACCACGGGGAATCGGAGGCGAAGGGCATGGGGTAGCGCATCTCCCAGTCGCGCCCTTGGTACCGGCCCGAGCTGATCTCGTGGTTGCCCGGCACCCCCACGTGAGGCACGGAGGACATCAAGGGCTCCGCGAGGATCCCGAAGGTGTCCCAGAGCTCGGCCCAGCCGTCCGCGTAGGAGTAGTCGCCTGCCACGAAGAGGAGGTCGAGATCCTGGCCGAGCAGCGCGTCCATGGTGGCCTTGCTCACGTTCGTGCTCCCAATGTCCGCCATCAGCCCGATACGCAGCGGCCCGCTCTGGTGGCCCGGCGATGGTGGCGTCATGAAGGTGAACTCGCGCGTCCCGGCCGCTGGGCGGTAGGTGTACTCCGTGTCAGGCTCGAGGTCGGGAAGCGTGACGCTGTGAATGTACTTGGACACCCAGTAGCCACGGGGATTCTTGTAGTCGACGCAGCCCTCGGGCAGCGCCCCCCATGCCTCGGACGCGGAGTTTAGCCTAAGGTACTGCGCGCTCTCCTCTGGACTGAATGCCGAAGTGTTCACCACGTCTGCCAGGTCCTGGAGGGCCATGGGCGGCGCGCCCATCGGTGGGGAGGTCAGGTAGTCGCCCTCCGGGCACTGCAGTGTGGTGTACGTCCGCACTCTCCCCTCCGCGCTGCGGTCGAGGCGCCCCGCGGACCCGAACAGGACCCTGCTGGGTACGCCACGCTCCCTGGACAAGAAGACCACCGTCACCGCGCCGGACAGCCCAGGCATGATGTGCACCTGCTCCACGGGGTCGTCCTCCGCCGGGGCTTCCAGTCGGCGGCCTCTCGCCGCGGCGCGCCGCGCCTGCTCCAGCGTCAGCGGCGGCGAGGCCCGCTGCCGCTCGAAGGCGCGCGTCACGCCCGGGGCCCGCGCGCCGAAGGCCACGCTGGCGAACGCCGCCGCGAGGAGGGACAGCGCAAGGCGCAGCGGCATGGCGGGCGCGCGGCCGACGCTCCAATGGAGCGGGGGAGGATCAGCCCGCTACGCTTTCTCCTGCGGGCGGTCTCCCACCGGCTGCGTGGTGAGACTCTGCTTGAGGGCCTGCTCGGCTTGTGGTCAAATTAGGGTGTTTTGCCTTCCATATCTGCCCCTCTTCCCCTTCGGGAAGGGGTTCACCCCTCCCCCGACCCCCTCCCTTGGACCTGGACGGGGCCGGTCGCGAGGTGTCGGAGCGTCGAAAACGGCCTCGGCGAGGAAGCCAAAATCATGAGTTTGATTGTAGTTTTGGCCCCCATTTTCGCCCCCCGGGGGGAGGCACCACACATTAAAGCTTGTTTCATCGATGTCCTCCAAGATGGCCCAAAAATGGCCCCCAAGGCTCTCAAGAGCGTTCCAAGAGAGCCCCAGGAGGTGCCCAGGAGGCCCCAAGAGGCCCCCAAGAGGCCCCCAGGATGCCACCAAGAGGCAACCGAAAGACCCCCAAGAGGCCCCAAGAGGCCCCCCAGAGACACCCAAGACGCCCCAAGAGGCCTCGGCGAGAATATCCAAATCATCGATTTTAGCCTCCTGGGGGGGAGGGGCACTGATTAAGATGGCTCCAACAGCGCCTGGGTGAGCCCAAGATGACCTCCAAGACGGCCCAAGAGATCCTAAGATGCCTCAAGATGGTTCCAAAGATGCTCCAAGAGGCCCCAAGACCGCTCCAAGACGACCCCACGTGGTCAAAGAGCTCCCCGGGGAGGCCCCGAAGAAGACACGAATCTTTCCAAAACTTGGGAAAATCAATGTTGATTACTTTCTCGCCTTCTCCCTTCCGATGGCCATCCGAAGCCTCATGATGGCTCCAATATGGGCCAAGAAGGCCCAAGCGAAGCTCAAGAGAGCCCCAAGACGGTCCAAGAGCGCCCCAAGAGCGCCCCAAGAGGCGACGTTTGGGGCTCCCGGAGGGCAACGCCAATTAATGCCCCCCTCTCGTTCGATCGATGTGCTCCAAGATGGCCCAAAGAGCGCTCCCACGGCCCCCAAGAGCGCCTCGAGAGGGCCCCAGAAGGTGCCCGGGAGGCACCAAGAGGCGCCCAAAAGGCCTCCACGAGGGTCCCAAGAGACCCCCAGGAGGCCCCAAGAGGCTCCCCGAGACGCTCTAAGAGGCCCTCGGGACCGCTAAGAGGCCCCCAAGACGCAAGAGAGGCCCAAGGGAGCCGCAAGATGGCCCCAAGAGCGCCCAAGAGTGTCCCAAGAGCGCTCCAAAAGGGACCCTTCAGCTGCCTGCTGCCCCCTGCTCGTGGCAAATCCTCGGGGCATCGTCTCTGGATGGGCTGGCGGGGCTACGTGTTGGGTCCGCGGGCGCGCGACGACGAGCCGAACGCCGAGCAAGCCGGGGCGGGCCGCGCTGCGCAGCCAAAGGAAAAACAGGGGAGGAGAGGACAGATGGAAGGAAGGGACAAGGGCAGGAGAGCCCAGAATCGAATCGATAACTCGGATCGGCGATCGTAATGAATCGGATCGGCAGAAATCGGCGGCCGGGTCGGGAAGAGTCGAATCGGCAGAAATCGGCAGGCTAGTATGCCCCCAATAAGAGATCGGAGCCCAAATCGGAATCCGAAATCGAATCGGAATCGGAATCGGAATCCATCGGAGTCGAATCGAATCGAATCGGAGGATTCGAAACGAGCCCTGCAAGGGGGAGGGAGAAAGATGGAGCATGAGGGAGATTAGCCGGAGAGGAGGCTAGGAGCAGGAAACACGTAACAGAATGAGACGGGCAGATCGGGCGGGTGGACCCTCACGGTCGGGTCGGGACAGCGGACCCAGGCGGACAGGTCGAGCAGGCGGGTCGCTGAAGCGTGAGTCCTGCACGAATCGCGAGGACGTCTCGAGCGATAGCGCGATTCACAAGTAAATCGTGAGAAAGGCCAAAGCGAGAGCGGGATTCCTGAGTGTTGGCGGCGCTGCGTCTCAATGAGGTGGAAGGAAGTACCACGCGAAAGCGCGACTCCTTGATAAACTGCAAGGACCTCCCACGCGAGAGCGCGATGTCAAATAAAGTGTAAGAAAAATCAGGCGGGAGCCGCTGTTGTGATGAACCGGGGGCCACGACAGCAGAGTCTGAGGCGGAAGACTGTCCCTTGTAGAAAACAAGGTGCGAGGCCCAGGATGAGCACTTCAATTGAAAAAAACAGGTGCGCCGGACAGGGGGGATCATACAAAATTTTTCTTCAGAAATTAGAACTCCACAACGCAATAACGCAACGACGCAATAACGATCTGCACCGCAGAACCCCACTTCAGCCACGCGCCCAGGGACAGTGAACGACCGCTCGGACCCCTCACTATGATGTTTCCTAATGATGGCTATCGTTTACATCCGCAGCGCCCAGCGTCCACACCACCTGCTCCTGCCTCCCGCTCCTCCTCTTCATCCTCCTCCTCCTCCTCCTCCTCATCCTCCTCCTCCTCCTCCTCCTCCTCGTCCTCTCCTCCTCCTCCTCCTCCGTCCTCCTCCTTCTCCTCCTCCTCCTCCTCCTCCTCCTCCTCCTCCTCCTCCTCCTCCTCCTCCTCCTGTTCCTCCTTCTCCTCCACCTCAACCTCCTCCCCCTCCTCCTCCCTCCTCCAAACATGAAAACAGCAGAGTGCCATTGCCATGGCTGCTGGGCCCAGCGCGCAGCATTAATGAAACCTTAGCGATGCCCCCGAACTGGAATGAAACCTAATCATTTCCTCTTCGTCCTCCCCTCGTTTCTCCTCCCTTGCACCCGGCACAGGCGCAATAGTGGCCGCCATCGCCGGCGACGGCGACGCCGCCGCCGACAACGGCGACTCGCCGCCAGCAGCGACGCCAGGCGACGGCGGCAGCCGGCGCCAGCGGTGCGCCTGACTGGCCCAAGCGGCGTAGTCGTAGCCGACGGTGGTCGTGGCCGCGTAGGCGCCAACGGAGGCGTCGTAGCCTCCGCCGGTGAAGGGGAGGAAGAGGAAGTAAAGGAGAGGGGCAGGGCTGGGAGCGTCTTGGTGGTGGGCAACATGTACCAGCACAAGGCGTGAAGGAGGAACAGGAAGAAGGAAGGGGAAAGACGGGGAAGGGGCAGGAGGAAGGGGCATTGGAAGGAGGAGGAGCAGCAGCAGCAGCAGCAGCGAGAAGCGAAGGAGAAGAGGGAGGAGTAGGAGGCAGCAGGAGGACGGAAGGACGAGGCACCAGGGACGAGGAGCAGGAGCCGAAGGAGCAGCAGCAGCAGCAGCAGCAAGTGGGGGGGGACGACCCCCGCCGCCTGCGGCACCCTCGCCTGCGGCGCGCGCGGCGTACACCGCGTCCCAATCGTACGTCACCGCCTCCTTCTGCGCCAACCCGGAGACGCTCGCGTGCCGCGCCCTGTGGCCCTGGGCGCGGAAGCGGGCCTCCCTCCTACTCCTCCTCCCTCCTCCTTTTCCTCCTCCTCCTCCTCCTC